GAGCCGCGAGCGTGGCACTCGGTGGTGGTTTACAAGGACAACATGCTGCTCTATGGAGACAATGGGGACTGTGAGCAATCAAAAGAAAATGCAGGAACAGGTGAGTGCATGCACCATGTGGGGTGGATGGCTGCATAGCTGGATGGAGTGAAGGAGAAAGGGACCCTGTTTATGCATGCACGCATTGATTCTTTCTGTGCCCTGTTGGCCTTGCACGCTTCACAAAAGCCTGCCTCGTACATTTGTAACTCACTCGTGCCTTGGCCCGCAAAACCTGCCATCCATCCCCCTATCACAGTTCAAAATGGTCTGTCTTGAAATGACTGTCTGCTGAACATTGAGCTGAATATTGGTGGGTTATTCTGTATGGCACCCATGCCCGCACACAGATGGAACATCACTGCACAGGTACATGCTGCTGCTGGCCTGGCATTGGCCCCGTTGTCAGGAATTTGTCAGTTGAGTGGCCTGCATTCGACACGCGGCTTGCCCTTTGGTTGAAACTCTGATCCGATTGCCTGTGCATTTCAGTGTACTCATTCAGTTTCAAGACAAAGGAATGGTCAGAGGTCCGGACCACAGGAGACTGTCCCCCACCAGACGACGTTGTGGAGCTTGCAGAGCGTGGGGGCAAGCTGTATGTGCTGTGCATAAACTATGGGGGCTCATGCAACCTGATGGCCATCTACTGCCTGGCCTTGGAGGGCAAGACTCGCAAGTGGACAAAGGTAAAGACGACAGGAACACCTCCCTGTGGCAGGATCGGCTGCTCAGCCACTGTCCTGGGAGACTCTTGGTATGTCCATGGCGGCTTCCCTCGAACACAACGCCACCCAGCCTGCTGGGACATCGTTGGTGACACTTATGAGTACAACTTCAAGTCCCAGGGCTGGTCGAAGATCTGCCCTGTCCGTGACGGCCTGCTGCCCAGGGGTGGCCATGTGGCCATAGCATGGCGGGATGCTGTGGTCTTCATGGGGGGCACAACCTCCAGTGGCAGAACGGAGCAGGTGGCCTACCTTGGGGGCGGTGCCTACTGCACCACAGTCGAGGTCCTCTGGAAGTGCCCACTCCGTCCAAACGCCTCCAATGGCGAGTATGTCTTCACAGACACGATACGGGGTATCCGCAGCCTGCACGGTTGTGAGGAAACCTCAGATGTGGTGCTGATCTCAGGAGGGACTGAAATCAAGGCCCACCGCGCGATCCTGTCTGCTGCCTCAAAGACCTTCCACAGGATGTTCAGTGGGAATTTCTCTGAGATGCGGGAAAACAAGTCAGGGGAGGTGCATCTAGACAGCATTAGCCCCAGCGTGCTGGAGACCATGATTGCGTATGTGTACGGAGTCTTGAAAGAGGTGCCCGCAAATCTGGCACTGGACCTCTTCAGGGTAGGCGACCTGTATTGCATCGATGGTCTGAAGGAGGAGGCCCTGTCCCAGTTGAAGAGCACGATGTCGGTGGCCTGTGTGGCGATGCTTGCACGGGTCGCAGACGAGCATTCCTGCGAGGGACTGTTCAATGCGGCTGTGGAGTTTGTTGCAAGCGACCCTGACAACCTGCTGCAGGTGAGTGCGGGTCGAAGCTCTGCTGGAGGGGCTTAGGGCTGGACACGCCTTGCACCTTGATCTCGTGCACACAAGCATGTTGCAGAGAGAATGCTGCTGCGTCCAGATCGAATGTGGTGTCCTTCCCCTGTGGAAGTTTGCCATGCATTGGACGTCATGGTGCAGGCACAGCATACATGGGCGTCATTGTTGTCCACTGCATGACATTGGGAGTTTCAACACGAACTGGCATGCACGAGCATAAAATGTTTTACGACGGGGCTCCCATGTCGTCGACCCATCGCTCGCATATTCTCCCCCATGAATGACCGGAGGTCTGGCACTCTGTCTGCACATGCATTGTGGGGCTCAATGGTCCTGTCAATATGCCGAAAATGCAATGTAAAGGGAATTCAACTGGAGCCCAGAGGTCCGGAGGCTGTTCGCTTTCTTTGGAACAGCAGCATGGCACTATCCTGTGCCAATGTGTCGTCATCAGCAAGACAGTGAACGAACACAAACGCGAACATGGTCAAACACCGGCAGGGCAGCAGAATGTCCCCAGCCCTCTGCCATTCTGTGACATGTTCTCTCATGCTTTATGTGCAGGTCCTTTCGAGCGAGAATTACCTGTCCATGTTGCGAGAGACACCAGAGCTGGGGCAGAAATTTACTCACATGTGTACGCGTCGCGCGTTCGGTGCTGGTGAGCACAGCGAGACGCTGAATGGGCCTGCAGGCTTGGGTGACATCAGTGGCAAATGAAGGGCGTCGACAGGGGAACGGGATTGCTGGGATTCAGTGGGCTGGGAGCACCTGCCCCAAACATGGGACGGGCGGGATGCTGATAGATATTGAGTTGTGAATTGCGTTTGGGTAGGTGGTGTTTGCCTGTGAGGCGAAGTTCGAATATCGGGTAGTATTTTCTTCACGTTGCAGGAGTGGCAAGTCGGGGTGGGGAAATAATTGGGGTGTGTTCCCTTCTGGTGGACCATTAGCTGCAAGTAGCTGCTGCGCAGCCAGCCGTTGTGTCTTGCGTGGCTCTATTGGGCTCCTGTACAAGGTGTAAGTGTTTCGCATCTAGGTCCAAGTTGGGTGACGCATGGCTTGCAATTGGAGGGCCCGCACTGCACCGCTCTGCTCAGCTGATCACTCCAACGTGAAGCTTCGCAAGTTCCCTATACCAGCTTCGCCAGGGAGGCGACGCCTTGCACTCCAAGGAACCAGCTGGCATGCATAGGTCATCGGACCCACATACCTACCCATATACTTTCAGATGGCAACAGCGCAGGACGCCAAAACATCGGTGTGCTGCTGAACGTCAAGGCAGCTGTTTTCGATTTCTATGCCTACGTAACAATTCCTGATATACATCAACCCTCCCACTGTACATTCGTAATCCCGAAATCCATCCCCGCTCTGGACACCATCCCACATCACCAGGAATCCAATTCGCCCCCCATCGCCCACCCAATCGAATGGGCCAAGTCGGCTCTGCACATGCATGGCGGCCCACAGAACGGGCGGAATAGCACTGTCCGCCCCCCCCCCCCCCCCCCCCAATTCACCAATTGCGCTGTGCCTTCGCGCCAAGCAGTCCCCGGGCGCGAACCACCCCGCCCCCTTCAATAGCACCGTGTGCCGTCTTCGGTTGCAGAGCACCAACAAAGCTCAGCACAGCCCACCTTACCGCAGCCTCCGCCGCTGTTGCCATGAAGTGCATCGGGGTCTATGTCTTTCGAAGGCAATCCAAAAAAAGAATTTAGCCCTGGGACTAGTCGACCTCCGGTAGCTCCACAAAGACACTGGTCGCCTCTACCTTGCCATGGATCGTGTCGTCCGCTGCATCCACCACCATCAGGCCATCGATGAGCTGCACGCCGCAGTGCAGCGCCAGCAGGGCCACCTGGACCTCGCGGTCCTTCCCCTGGCGCAGGGGATCCAGAGGAATGGCTTGGGCTCCCTCCAGCACCACCGAGGGTGCTCGGATCACGTCCTTGACGTACTTGGGTTTGTCCCCTGCGCAGTGAGCCACAACAGGTTTCTGTGCCGGCATGAGATGATCGGTTGGACGCGACCATGCCGCGTACTATCCCGTTTTGACGCAGTGGTGTGTTGGAATTGCGACGTACGACTTGGCACTCGCGTTGGCCACCACAGAAGGCAAGAAATGCCGATATCAATTCAAGCGTTGTAAGTGAGCGGGAGGCGCTGGTGGCGTTCAGCCTGCAATGATGGCCACTCGTCGACAGTGAGAGCCGTCCTTGCCAAAGCTGCTGTGCCGAACAGAAAAACGGCCGCTGTGCTACAGTAGCAGAAATTCGCTCCCTGGTCATAACAGACTTAGAAGGTTGTTTTCCACCATCAACGATGACGCGGAAGCTCCAAAAGCAAGAGACAAGACACTCACATATTTCGGACAGCATAAAAGGGAAATCAACACGAGCTGCAGCCGCAAGCTAGAAACTCCCCCAGAGAGCGGGCTCCAGTTCAACTGGCACCCCAACCAAGTGATGCCCAGGCCGAGGCAGCCAATCAGTCCTGCCGGCTCCTTCGCTGAAATCGTGGTCTTCATGCTAACAGACATGAGTTCTTTACCTGTCCGCGTACCCTCAACCCTAACCAAACTAGCAGAATTGAGCCCACAGCAAAGAGCCTGTGACGTTCACATAAAGCACACGTTTCCACCCCACTTTTGCAGGGACAGAGCAGGGGCCCCCTGCCCAGAAGGTGATGCTGCGTGCAGTCTGCCGACACCCGCAGGACTCCGCAATGGCAGCGGGCAGCACCCTGTACTTGGGGTGCAGTCAAGCAGAACTCACCTCCAGGTCTGAGCACAAGGCAAGGCTGCCTCAGGTCGACGTCCCTCAGGTTGCTGCGGACGCGAACGGTTGCTTGGAAAGGCTGGCACTGGATGATCCTCTCTGGAAGAGCCAAGATCTTTATGTCCACCTGCTGGCGCTGCACCACATTGGGCCCGGCAGATATCTGCTGAGTCTGGAGGCGCCCCGAGTCCCCCAGCGGCCCCCGCCACTTTATCTCCATCTTGCCCAGGACACCGCTGCTGGCCAGGGACATCGCATCAGAGTCGATGGGCGTGAACTTGAAGAGGAAGTTGCGCGTGCCATGTTCAGGGGGGATAATCTGTGACATGGCAATGTACATGCAGTACCCCGTCAGGCAATGGTGCTGCTGATTCAGTACACAAAGCAGGTAAGGCACTGGCAAACCAGTACAGTAGACTACTGCATAGAGAACGCAAGGCACTGGCCAACCAGCACAGCAGGCCACTGCATATGTGTGCCTAGGAAAATGGTGCATGAATAATCATCAGCGACTCGGCAACTGCTCTTCATGAGCGAAAATTTGGGCAAAGTCTGGCCTGGTTGCACGTATGGAGGTGGGCAAATGATCCCAGTCGGAGATTGAGAATGTGCAGCTGGCATTGCATTATGTATACAGCAGTTGTGAAATGGCTTGGCCTGGATGTGCTGACAGAATTTCACAAGGCAGTTGATGTGTTGGTTGTTGAGCGTTTTTTTCGTCCACGCCAATGGCTGTTGAAAAGAAGCACACTGTACCCTCAACATACGCATCCAAGCAACAGCAGGTGACAATCTAGCTCACACAACCAAGCCAGTGGAGCCATGACATGGGTTGTTGAAGCACTCGTGTAAGAATTCTTGATGGATTGACCGCCAAGCAAATCCTAACTTCCATCCACTAATTCATCCATCTAAAACCCCTTGCCGAAATGCAGCATAGTGCTGCCCCTGCAACTCTGGGGTGAGGACAGGTATCACTGCACTGCTGCGCAACCTGGTCACCCCAAACTTGGGATCCAGGGGGGGCACATAACCCAGGAGCAGGGACACACTGAGCATCCATCCCCGCAAACCACAATACATGGTACAGACATCTCTGAGCATGCCATGCATCCACATGCAGCAGCACAAGTGCTTGCAAAAGGAAAGGAAAGAATCATGGAACTGTCAAACGCGAGGCACCAGGTCGGCAGAAAGAAAAGGAACTCAATTGCAACGCCAAAGTTTGCCCAATCTGGCCATGCTGGGTTCCGCACTGTCAGTGAGTTTATGTAGTCCTTCAGCGGTCCACTGGAGGCCTGCGACCTCTCTGCCTGAATTTCTTCGACTGTGTAACCTGTCGTCGGATCGAACCGGATGTAGTCCAGCACCAGAGGGGATTTCATGGAGTTCTCCACACATGCCTCCAGGAACAGGTTGTCGGCTGCCGACCGAACCTTGGTGCGTAGTGACAGTGGGCTGAGTGCCGTGAAGCGAAAATATTGAGGAACGTATCTGAGTATCACACAGGCACACCAGGTGAAACTAGTGAACAGCTACTGCAGGTACGAAGAAAAGCTGGACAGGAAATGCACACACACGTGCATGCACCACAGATTTACCTGCTTGGTCTCCATATTGCCAAAATTTGCATGTATGCGTCATGTGTGCTGCAGTACACTTCCTAATACGTTTCGTTGCCTACCGTGCTGCCTGATATAGTACTACCTATACATTGTGCTGCCTAGTGTAGTAACCTCTTGGGCTGAAACTGTGTCCTTCCACCTTCCACCTTTAGAAGATATTAAGCACATGCACTGTGTTCGTTTCTTGGGCAATTGGTCGCAGCTCCTTGCTGCATCTGCTTGCATAAGAGCAACATGGCAGCAGACAGATATGCATACGTACATTTTCTGTGCATGGTCCCATGCACAGTGGCCTTACAGTCCAACGACAAAGTCCACAATCAGCTCAACCTTGCTATGAAAGCACACAAATGTGTTATTCGCTGCACACAGCAGCCAGTATCAATACAGGGCCGGAAGTCCTGGCACACGTGCTTGCAGAAGTTTCCAGCCTACTTGTGGGCTGCTATTGCACAGAGATTCTGTGTGGCAAACAAATGCACACCATAGCAAGGGATCCACAAACAGAGGACTGTGTCAATTTGGAAGCCATAAACTCAGCCACGTTCACAAGTGAGGATACTCGCATAGTAGGCTTGATCATGGAAAACAGAATGCACACAAACGTTTAGGAGCTACAAGGGCAAATATTCAGAGGCCCACCTCCTCTCTGCCTCTTGGGTCGTGAACGAGCTGGAGCATATCATCGTATGGACCCCCAACTCCTTGACATCGTGGTGTACGATGAAGTTTTTCCGGACCCCAGGAGCCATGGCCGGCGTCGGGGTGGCCGTGTTGTCGAACAGCACAACCCTGCTCCGCTCGCTCTGTAGCTCAGCCTTGATGCCCACAGCAGACACGACCTGGTCCGAGTTGTTCGCAAGGCTCACATAGCACGAAAACGTCTGCCCTGGCACAACCACATTTTGATTCAGCATCACACACCCCACAAGGGACACACAAGTCAAGGCAATGTGCTTTGCGGGCTTGTTCTTAATGCTTATCAACATTGAAACTCTGCAATGCAGCCAAGCATTGCTTGTGAGTTTTGGTGGAATTTTGGGATTCTATGGTTGAAGGGCTATGACTGAACTGTGCTGACCCAACACTGTGCACTGCGTCCTATTCATCGTCACCTTCTGGCTGCAATGAGAGTGTTTCCTTGTCATTTTCTGATGTGCAACCAAAGCAGCTGACAAAGATGAGGGGACTACTTTGCACTCTTCTTGAGGCTGTTGCAATACAATAGTTAGCCCAGGTGCCACCCCAGCTTTCTTTGCAAGCCCTCCCTCCTCCTGACAGAACAAGGGACCATTGGCTCTCGACCAGTGTTGTTGTTGGTAGATATTTTTCCCAGAGACTGCAACAGGGCCCCTTGTGTTCATTAAACAACTTCCAACAGCTAATGCACTCTAAACTATAAGCATTGCCAACAAGAACAGGCAGCATCCCCCCAAAAAGGTGTTCATCATGTCTGGAACAACTCAGTTGTGAGTTCAGAAACGAACTCTCAACTACAGCACAACTTGGCTTCCTTGGTCCGCACAGACCATGGTCACAGCAACCAAATCAATCATTCATGTGAAAGGCATACGCAAATGAAATGTGTGCGCAAATCAAATGGGGAAGGGCTCTGGTTGGTTGTTGTGCAAAGAGGCAGCCAGTCCACAAGCCATGATTTGGCCTGACAGTGACCGTGCTAGCATATTTCCTTCAAGTGCTTCTGCACGTGTGCAGTTTGAAGGCATCCATAGCCAACTCCATACTCTGCTACAGTCAGAGTAATATTGAAAAGAGAAGGCCACGTAGCATCTGTGGCCTGGATACGTACAGTGTTCTATTGTTCTGTGGCCGAACTTCAGAAACAATTTCCTTAATCTTAACCATCTTGCAAGGCATCATGACAGTGCTCACAAGCAGTACTCTGAGTAAGCCTATTGACTGTCGAAATCATAGGCCATCGAAGTATAATTGTTGGCCCTGTTTTGGAAGGTGCAGAAAAAAAGCCAGGCTGGCTGCCAAGGCATATCATCCAATGTGTGGTGGCACAGCATGCCTGCAATCATCTGCTCTTACAGAGTCGAAGTGATAGAACGAACCAGACAGTTATCTACAACTGCAGCTGGTGCCCGATTGGGGTTGCACGTTTCCCAAGCGATCTATTCAATCCCTTCTGAGTGGATCATCCCCTCCTCTGCTGATATGGCGATTGCTGGCAATTCACTGCAGATCTCCAGTCCAAGCAGGGAGGCAAGCAATGTGTGCCCATGTAGACTGCTATTCATTCCTCCATTTAATCTTGCATACAATCTTGTAGCAACTCGATTCCTTTGCAGTTTGTTGCAACGACATGGTGCTTGTGTGTGGTGCCAATGCCCCCAGCTTCCTCCATAACAACATCACCACCCCACACCAGCTGACCCCAATTTCCATCATCGAAGCACGGAGCCCTGGATTCTGCCTGACATCTGGGTCCAAGCAGCACAGCCCCCATGCCCCCTCTTGCAAGCAACCAACAGCGCAACCCAACAGTCACACACCCAACAGCACATGCCTATGGGTGGTGGTCAACAAAGACCACAATCGATCTGAGGGGAAGAAGATCAAGATGCATCTGATTTGCTTTCTGCCGCCCTTTTCCACATAGGTGTGTATGTGGGCAGCTTTCAGAATATTATCTTGGGGACATTGGACAGCGCAAATTGGATCATCCTTCATCGCCTGCAAAACGCACAAGCGCTGGGCCTGCCATGGCTCTTTTGGGCAAACACTGTCCAGAGAGCTTCTTGTCAGATACCCGGGCTGCAACTGTCGTCACACACAGCACACCCCAACTCCCCCACCTCACCATAATTCCATCTCTGCCACAGCTCCCACACAAACCTATCCCGGTCCACCCCACCCCAATCACCAATCAACACTTGCAACGAGATGATTTAAACCCCCACCCCATCCCCCACCCCTGCTCTTTGTGTGGCTTGTGCTGTGCGGTTTGCTGATCATTTCCCACAGGGGGACTCCATATCACCTTTCACAGCATGGTACAAAATCTCAGACATGATTTAAACCCCCACCCCATCCCCCACCCCTGCTCTTTGTGTGGCTTGTGCTGTGCGGTTTGCTGATCATTTCCCACAGGGGGACTCCATATCACCTTTCACAGCATGGTACAAAATCTCAGACACACTTGCTCGAGAGGGGGCCACCTATGCGCCGCCTGTCTTCTTTCGCAGCGCAACCAATCTTCCCCCGCTCCCCACCGCCTCACCCCACCCTCTCCCCGGGCGCCGGAGCACACCTCTCCCAGGTAAATGGCCTGCCGGCTGTTCGCCAGGCACAGGCTGCCGTCCACACCGAAGGTCGCCGCGGCCTCCTCGGACTGCGTCCTGCCCTCAAAGGCGCGCACGGGCACCATCTGGCCCATCTTCTCCACGGGGATGGCCACGGCCTCGCCCATGTCGACCGTCAGGTCCAGCTTGACGCCCGTCTCCAGCGCCAGGGACGGCTTGGAGAGGCGCGCCACCCTGAACGACAGGGCGTGCGCCTCGCGGGGGGCGTCGCCGGACATCATTGTACCAGGCAGCCTCCCGCCGCACGAGAGGGACGGCAGCCTAGCCCCAAAACCGGCTGCTCTTCGGTGCTGTGTATACCGGCATCGGCCGCAATTTGTGCAAATTAGTGTGTTGTTGTGCTTGTTTTCTTGTACCAACAGTCTGTGCACCGCGGCAGCTGAAGAGGGGGACAACCGAAATGAGCAGCTACAGAGGTTTCGTCGGGATGAACGTCAATTTGGCGCTGGTTCCAGCCGCCCCGATACCACCCCCACTCCATCACTCCTGGCGTCGATCCTGGCTCGACGCCGCTTCACAATCCACGCTGGGATGGGGATGTAGCCATAGTTTCATGATACGGTTTTTCTCTCTAGAAACGCCCAGATCAACGAATCTTGGAACAGTTAAATTTTGCCGAAAATATGCCGAAAACACACATTAGTGGCTCAATAAGCCATATTAGCCTCTACTGACGAATTTTGAAAAACACTTGGCAAAGTAAAGAGTACAGCTCACGCCAGATCAGCTGTAAGACGGCGAGAGCGGCAAGAAAAGAGCTTTATATCTGGTGCTTCTCGTGCTTTTGTAGTCACGTAGCGCCCAATGAGGTCGCCTTTGAATGGATATGCGGCGAGAAGCTGGGCCTTGTAAACATGGTGACCAGATTGCTGCGAAATGCCGAAGGAAGAACGGCTTCAAACAATATGCCACTGTCTCGGAAAGAAATAGCCTTTTCTGTCATCCTCTGTAGTACACATACACGCGTTGCCACTTGGCGAAAAACATATTTCAAGGCATCATGTTCAACAAGGATAAAACGAAAAGTATCGAAGCGGCTACAATAATGGCAAGTGGGGCGGAAACGAGTTAAGCACGTGCTGGAAAGACACATGTTGTTCCGAGACGCGTTGTTGTGAACGCGTTGGGTGATCTGCAGCATGCATTGCGCAGACAACCTTGTGAAGTGAAGACGCATGAAGTCGTGTTCGACCACGATTTCATTTCAAATTCGAAGTTTGCGTTTGTGTGCTGAGTCTTGTGCTACTGACGTGTAGCGCAGTGCCACAATGTGGTGGTGGTTGGCATTGGGTTAAAAAGCAAAGCCGCGACATAACTCAAAGCGGCGGGAATATTTCTAACGCGTTCTTGGGGCCTAACGCGCTTTGCAAACGAGTCTTTGAGCTTCCTTTTCTCCGTGTACACCTCCAGAAATTGCCTTTGCAATAGTGTGAGTGTCGCTATCCAAATGCAATTAGGAATTTCGAATTTGTAATTCTGTTGAGGAGCGCACTATTGTTAATTTTGTATGTTTAGCGCTCGCTGGACGCCAATTAGCGTCCATTGAGCGCCAAGCGTATGCCTTTCACAATTGGGGGGGTGGGGGTGGAGGGGGAGAGGGGACCAGGGCATGGACGCTAAAAGGTGGCATAATTGCGATACAATCAAAACAGGCCAAGAAGGGGACACAGCATCCCTCAGTGTGCGAAAACACACCCCCTGCACACACACCCTGCGAACACCCTGCGAACATGTCCATTGATGCATGCGGCTGTGCTCATGTTGGATATGGCGTTTTTGGATGGTTGCTGTCGCTGGGCGCAAGCCCATAGGACAAGGGTGGCGAGAACGGCGTAAGTTTCGTTTGCGGTCTAGAGGGGCACATTTAGCACGCACCGTTCCTTCCGTATCCATGCACGATTCCTGTCCCAGCAGCCCATCGTCCCCCGCCCACCAGCGCATGCGCTGGTGAGGCACTTTATGCGCCCACGTCACACCGAAATATGGGAGATTCTTGCAGTGCTGCGCGGCGATGCAAAACCTCCCTAAATTGTGCAAAGCGGGGGCATTCTGTGACAGTTCAAAAGCTGTTGCCAAGCCCACCAGGCGCTGTGCTTCGGCACCCAGGTGCCCAAGTCGCCCTTGTTGTTTGATGTAGTTCGCACAGGGCGATCAAACCAGTTCTGTTCGGCTGGGCAGAGGACTTCTTCTCCCTCAGGGTGAGCCTCCTTGTAAGCAGGCCACAGCCACAGCACATCCCGACAGCATCAAAACTGTTACACGCTGAACGGTGACGCTACTTATTTGGCGCCCATACATGACTTCTCCTCAGATGCATTCAAACTGAATGTCAGGAAAATATACAACTCAGCCCGCTACACAAACCAACAGCAAGGGTCATCGCCTCTTTCCTGGCACAATTACTCCCAACGCTGCAAATGTTCTATCCCAACAAAAGGGCTACCAGCCCTTTCTTACACCACTTACACAAACTCCACTGTGCTCCCTTGAGGCACCAATCCTCCGACTGCTAATCAACATGCATTCATCAAAGCCAGCAGATGGGTGTACGGCACTCCGCCACTACCCCCGCCCAAGTTCACCACAATGCTGGACAAAAAATGTACTTCAGGCATAAGTTTGGTCCATGCCCTCCAGTGCCAATCGTGCTTAGGAAAGCAGAGTTCTGCACTGTTCATCCACTGCGGCGAACGCACTGTCAAAGATCTCGGCCTGGAGCATGCTCCCGTCTGCGGCGGTCTCCAGGGTCTCTTCATAGCTACTCTGCAAGTTGGTTGCAGTCTCGCTCTGGCCCAGGTCTGACAGCAAGTCAGTCATGTCGCTCAGAGTACCATTCATGCCGCTGGTGTACCTGTTGATGGCATCAAGGTTGGGGATGGAAGGAGCATACACTCCCTGCGCAAAAAAAGCTGCGGTGACACCTCCCACGGCAACCAGTGTGATGACCCAACCCACGATGACCTTCAGCAGGAGCTGCAGGTTGACACCCTTCTTACCCTCCATCAGGCCGACACCCACCGTGGCTCCCACCTGACAGTGGGTTGTGCTCAATGGAATGCCATACCGCGACCCCACGACGATCACAGTCGCGGCCCCCAGCTCGATGGCAAAGCCCCGGGAGGCGGACATCTTCACCAGCTTGACGCCAATGGCACGAATGATGTTGTAGCCATACGTGGCCAGGCCCACTGTGATGCCTGCTCCGCCGATGACCAGAATCCATTCTGGCACGTCGGACTTAGACCCGCTGAAGCCCCTGTTCTTGTAGATGTCCCAGATGGCGGCGAACGGGCCCATGGCATTTGCGACATCGTTTGCGCCATGCGCAAACGAGTCCATGGTGGCAGTGAACACCTGGAGGTACTTGAACGACTCCTCAGTGCCTGCGTCGTATGACTTTGAGGACTCGTAGATATCTGCAACCTGTTTGTCCGTCTTGATAACTCCGTGCACGTCACGGTCAGTGATCCTGTTCACAGCGCCCGCAAGCCTGCCGGCCGCACTCCTGTCCCTATTCGCCGGGTCTCCATTCCTCCCCGTGTCTCCATTCCGCCTCGAGTCTGCGTTTCGCCCAGAGTCTCCATTCCGCCTCGAGTCTGCGTTCCGCCCCGAGTCTCCATTCCGCTTTTGCGGCTTCTCAGGCCCCAGCGACCTGGCAGACGCGGCGGCCGCCCTGCTGTCCTGCTCTCTGAGGTTCTGCTCCACCTTCTCCTTCAGCCACGGGATGAAGAAGAACCAAATGCTGACGCCAATGATGGTCCCCAAGCCCAGGGCGATAAGCGTGGACCAGCCCGCACCCAGGATGTCTGAGAGCGCCTTCTTGTCCTTTCCCAGCTTCCTCTTGAAGCCCTTGTAGATTATAAAGTATACGTTGAGGGCGATGGTGACTCCCACCAAGAAAGGGAAGAAGATGAAAGAGCGCTGCCTGGAGTCCTCGTGCTGCAGGATGAACCTCCGGACGAACAGGAAGAGGCCCATAGCCAGGAAGCCGGAGAAGACGGGCGAGACGACCCAGGACACGATGATCGGCGCCACGCCCTTGTACTTCTTCAGCGCCTCCTTGCTGTCGTCGAACTCGTACCAGACGACGGCCTCCGAGCCTTTGGCTGTGAGGGCCATGCCGATTATTCCCCCTGCGGGCGGACCAAACGGGCGACAGTCAGGACCCCACCGACTGGCGACGCTCCCCCGTGCTATTCTCGTCGCATTCGGGGCGCCGCGCGGATTGGCCCCCGCGCTCCGATCTCTCCCTAAACCAGGCAACAACACCTGCGAGATCCTTCGCCCTGGCTGGGCCACCTCCCCTTGCCCCTCCATTCAAGACGTTCTCAAACATGCCGCCGCGACTGCGCCTCCAATGGGGACCCACCGCTTACAAAACATTGGCACGATATTTCTCGTGAGCTCCCGCACTTCTCCGTGAAGCCGCGCCGCCAAATTGCGTCCCCAGCGCTCACGGCCCGCATCCCACCGGCGTGGCGCCACAACCCCAAAGCAGCCCTCAACTAGCTTCGGCCCAGGGATCACCGGAAGAATGTTTCCGAGAAAAGGAACGTGCGGGGCCCGTCGCCGGGCACTCACCGATCGCCGAGTGCGTCGTGGACACGGGCAGCTCCAGGTAGGACGCCAGCAGGAGCCAAAGTCCCGTGGCGGCGATCACGCACATCATCCCGTACATCAGCACCTCGGGGTCGTCCTCGAAGGGCTTGGTCTCGGCGACGCCCTTGCGCACGGTGTCCGTCACGCTGGAGCCCAGCAGCACAGCGCCCGCGAACTCGAACACGCCCGCTATGACCACCGCCTGACCCAGCGTGATCGACCTGGCGCCCACGGAGGTCGCGAACGCGTTGGCCACGTCGTTGGCGCCGATCCCGTACGCGGTGAAGAAGGCCAGCATGGCGCCCATCACCACGATCCACTCATACTGGTCCCAGTTGTCCGTCATGTTGGAGGGATGCCCGGCGGAGTCGCGGGCGCCTTTTGGGGTTCACTTGCGCCGGCCCGTGGCGCCCACTGGGCTGGCCTTCGGGACGCTGCCGCGAAGGGGATCGCCCGGCGACGGCGACACCACGCCATGGCCGGGGCAGCGTTTCAACCCTGAGCATGGGGAGCAATGCGCATTTTGGGAGGGATATTCTGGAGTGTTAGTACGTTGGGGCCGTACTGGCGGGCGGGGCACCAAGGACCCTGCCATTCCCGATGGGGCCTTCGGGTACATGTTGAGGGCCGGGAGCGGGGGTATATTCATGTGGGTGCGCTAGTGGGGCTGCTGCGCGCTGGTGACGGGCGGGCTGAAGGCCCCATGCTCGTCGCTGGGGGCTTCCATTCCCCACCCCATCCTGGATGTGGATGCCCGTGAAGTGTTCCATCGGAAAGTGGCAACTCACTTGCTCTGCGCCTGAGAGGCGATGACAGCACGTATCGCCCGACATCGATACGTCGCGCGGCGTTCGTTGTGGGGATGGACGGGCCGCAGCGCCCTTTCATGCAAACTTGTGCCACGAGCCGTCATCGTGAATAAAAACTGCGTGCTGTCGTGATGCGCATCGGGACCGTATAATCGTGCCCTTGCGCAGCCGGAGGGATACGGGCACTACGCAGTATACGACAAACTACAACACGGACCGTCCTCAGCCGGCCGAAGCGACACACCCTAATCGAGACTGCCGATTCACGGGGCCAAGGGAGGACAGGGCTGTCGCTGGCGGGCTTGTTATTTACGGCATATGGACAGCGTGTATTGTTTACGTATTTACGCGTTAAAGCACGCAAGGATACGTAAATACAGGCACTGTGTACAAAGATAGTACATACGGCCGCAGGAAGTCCGGGGAGTGGCAGCCAGACGTGCTGGATTGGGCGGAGAACGATCGTTCCGAGGCCGAGGTGGAAGCTGTGTTGCTGGCGGGGACGGAGGACTGGTCATTGGTTGCGACTTCATCATGCAACCAGGGTGTCTCAACGAGCCGTAAAAATAGCGGTTCCTGTCATTACGCCTAAAAACGCAAACATTCAAATGGTGTCGTAACGTACGTAATAAGCCTGGCCGCTGGGTTCGCCAATGGACTGGCGAAACCGGCACGCTCCGGCGGACTGCTGTGGATCAACATATGAGTCAATCGAGACTGTGCGCGACAGTCCAACTGGCCAGGGGTGTGTGGCACGTGCGATCATCGCAGGGAAGGAATTCAATCGGCACGGTACGCAAGCACTCCGGCTTTGTATTTCCAATGGGAAAGGCGACGAATGAGGAGTTTAGGACACAACAGGTGGGATCCGAGCCGCAGCCCTACAACGGTGCGTGTGCGCTGCAGCAAGTGCATCCCTTTGCCCCCCCTCGGATCGCTGTCGCCGCACAAGCCTTTCGTTGTCAATTTTGTTTGCGGGCAGCCGCCCGCCGCCAACCTGGCAGCCAGTTCACTGTTGCCATTACCTCCTGCTCCACACCTGTACTCGTGGCCAAGGTCACTACAATGAGTACTTCCGCAAGTTTGGCACCTGCACAAACAAGGAGCAGCTTGGCACTGAAGCGAGTGATTCTGGAATGTTGTTGCCACAGAATAATACTTTGGCTGTCAACTACACAGCAGTCCACAACGCATCCTGTTGGGTGCGTTCTTGAAGCTCAAAGTGACTGATGCACTGATTTGAAACTACATTCCAGGGCACCGATGTGCAATGGCGCAATGTGCAGCAGGGTGGGGGGAGGCGGCGCTCACGGGCCGTTGCGGCGTGGCCACCGCTTTACTACAAGTTGCAGACATCGTGTGATGCAAGGGTAATGCCGGTCCACCAGCGTCGGCACGCGCACACTTGAGAGGCGACGACAGGGGGCGCCGTGTGTTTCTCGAAGGCGGGGCCGCGCACTCTTGGAGTCGACAGCCACACGGAGCAGGCCATGCGCCGGTGAACTCGCCAATCGCGCGTTGGATTGGGGGCAACAACAAGCGCAGCTCGCTGGGTCCTTGAGGCGCAACCCTTGTTGGGCGCTTCGGCACGCCTTGCGCCCTTCCAGGTAATCTGGTGCGGAAACGGGCGCATTGGTCGGTGATGCATCCCCTCTGGCGGTCGAGACTGCGGCGACGAGCCCGATGGGGCACATCGCCCACAGTCCCCTGTGGGATATTCATTCATCAGTCGCCCTGTGGCCGCCAAGCCTCGGCTCCGGCCCATTCTATGCTTTTCATTTTAGGCGGCCACTCGTCGCCACAAGCGAGCGTGGCCCTGCCTGCCTTGCTCGTACGGTGCCTCGGTCCGAAACATTGATCAGCATCCCTGCTGGGGTTCGGAAATATTTGGGCCCACATCTCCCGTGCGCGATGCATGCTTCGGATGGTTATCGACGCTGTGGTCGCCATCGGACACCTCGCGGATGCCATACCTCGCTATTTTGAGCGATCAACGCTTTGTGTGACGTTCTTCCGCACGTCGCAACGCAAACCTCCCAAGTTTGAGCACCATCAGTGGTACCGGGAGCCACTGTTGCAGTGTCTCCACTGCTCTGTGTAGTACCTATACAGGCCTCTTTTGCAGGGAATCGGGATCTGTGGCGAACGCAAATCTTCCTTGGCCCGACACTAAATGCGACCTTCTGTAGCTGATGTACGTGCCTCGATCCTCACACTATTGAATTGGCGGCCTTCTGTGGATTATACCACAAAAGGGGCTCCTGTTACCTCGGTGTGAGCTTGTGGCGAAGCCGAACCGCGCTCAGGACCTTAGGCGCCTCCTGCTTCGATTCAATCTGACATACCAGTGTTGCATGTGGCGGAGCAAAGCGTGCAATAGAAAACCAATAGCCATTGGTGGAACGGGCAGCATGGAACCACAACTGGCTCTGCCCTCGTCTGTGTGTTAGAAGTGATGTTGCACAATAAAGAGATGGCTTCGCAAGGAACACGCTGCTTAGCTTCCCTTCGAGATCTCTCTGGTTGAAATTCCTGAACAAAAGCAGTATGTGCTTACGGAGACGGGACAAACAACGTCTTCTGTCCGTCCTCCACAGGGAGGCAGACGGCCACCTATTGCCCGTGTCCTACCCTGCCGCAGCTCAAAGGTGTTGGACGAAATTGCCGAAAAATGCGTTGCAGGAACACCCCAGATGCAGAAGGGGGAGGAAGATAACAAGAACACGGATGTATGCTGGAAGATGGCAGCAAGTGTGCTTGTTGTTTGCTGGTTGGATGCCTCAAGCCCTTCGTTTGTATTGTTGACTTTGGCAAGTCTTGCTCAAGCAGCTACAATTGCAATGTGTGCATCAACTTTGCTTTGCCACAGGTATTGTGTTGCTTCATGCAAATGTTGAGAAATATCAGTCCTGTTCATGTTAGACACCAACTTCTCCTGCGTCCCCTGCACTTAGAAGAGATTGAACTTACAGAACCTGATGGTGATATGTGGCCTGCTTGTGTGCATGCTGATTACGGAAAGTGGGCTGTTGGGGAAGAGCTGCAGGGTTGGCTGAGGATCCA